ATTGGGGGGACTGTGTCCTTGCTTTTTAGACGATTTTGTATACTGCTTCACCACAGACCCGTCAAGTTTAGAATCTGAAACTAAAGTAATATTAAAAGATGCATCAGATTATGAAATTGAAATTATGTTTAAAAAGTTTGAATCAGCCTTCGAAAACCCCTTCAAAACGGTTTTATATGTTTTTGAAATTATTTCAAAGAATGGATTTTGAAAGCCTTTGATTAGTAAATTGTGTAGTATTTTTGATTTAACTTAAGAAGAAACAGTAACTTTAATAGTCAATTCTGGGGTTAAGAATCCTCATACTCTTAGATTTTACTATTTCTCGGATCTCCCTTGCGACATTCCTATTAAGCAAAACTTTTGCTTTGGAAGATTTTGGAAGGTTTCTGCTGGATTTTGTTTGATACATATCGAAAACTATAGCCCCCTCCCCAGAGTTTGAGAGTAATTAGGTGTATGACTAGTGATCAAATAAAGTTTTGTTTGCAAATTGGTTCAAAACAAAGGAAATTAAACAAAAATTTAGTCATAACCAGTCATATTTTTACCTAAACTGCTCTGGCCTGATAGAGGAGACGTGGTCTCCTGCACTCCTTTTTTTTCCGAACTCTTATCACCAGCTTCCTCTTGAGTGGGATGTGGAAGTGGGCTATCTTCATGCAGAAAGACTCTATCCTCTTTATGTTCCCGAGTAACTTCTTGATAATTTCCTTGTTCGCAATTTTGCGTCTGAGCAGCTCCGTCTTCCACTGTAGCCTTCCGGCGTTTACGCATAACTTTGCAGCACGCGATGACGAGGATCGTGATGGCAACAATGAGGCCGCCCACAACAGAACCAGCTATGACGCCCACATTTGGTGAATTCTCTTCAATCAGGTTGACGGCTGGCTCACTTGGAGAAGAGATTACTTCGGTGCTCGTTGTAGAAGAGGATGGCCGCCATGGGGTTATGGACTGATCTTGTGGGGTTGACGGCGTCGGGCTAATAGTTGATGTCACCGATGCGCTGCACTTGTTAGATCGTAGGTAACTGCACTGCATGCCTGTTGGTACACCTGGAACTTGGCACTCAGGTATAACGATATCTTTACCATCATTACAACACGGGGAGCAGGGCTTGCACAGTCCCAGCATGCCCTCTGCGTATGCGCCAGACTTGCACCTTCCACACACGGCCTTGGAAGTTACCGTACAGGCTTTTGTAGTTTCGCGGTACTCACCGCAATTTCCACAGTCCTCACAAGCTCCGGCCTTGAGGGAAGCAGAATATGTCTCTCCCAGCACACATGGCTTGCACTGCACAGGTGTCGAAGGGGTTATTACTTCTCCGCAATTGACTGAGAGACCCTCGCCAGGTGGACATTTTAAACAGTCCTGG